CTGATTCATACAGGAACTTGGGTCCACTATTGTAGCGAAAGCCCTTGCAGAGTTCTGTAGGACTTAGTCCATGGGTTATGTCATCCGCAGGATTAGCCTCTGTCTGCACATATCTCCAACACACTGTGCCCGCCCCCGGTATGGCCTTCAGATTGCTCATAATTGTGTGAATCTCAGACACCCGGTTGCCGACGAATGCTTTATAAGTGGAACTTATCTGGCGGATCCAATGCGAGACTGTGGAGGAGTCACTCCAGAAGACTATCTGCTCTATTTTTGCGGTCATTTCTTTCACCGGTGTTTCAGCTAATCGCACAGCTACTAGAGCTCCCATGAGCTCCAGCCCGCAGACAGACCGTAACTTTAAAGGGGCAGCACGGCCTTTTCCCGCAATAAGACTACACTCTATTGTGTCATCTGTCAACGCACGTCTTAGGTACGCACACGCGCCATAGGCATCCTGGCTGGCGTCATAAAATACACGAATTGCTGTTTCTCGGATTGGTTTCTGTTCTTGAAGTAAAGTTCTTGGAATTCTCACTTCGTCAAGCTTCTCTGCTTCCCTGTACCATTCACGTCACTCTCAAAGGTCAGCTTCTTTCAACTCATCATCCCACTCGTACTTCATACCATTCAGTTCGCTCTGGATGGTGCAGACACTTCTCCAAACACTGTTCTCTCGAACTGATACACACTCGGTTCTTCTCTCAGAGAGTCCCTCCATAAGAATCTCATCGCCGGCTTATCATGGTCAGGGAGGCGAAGCATGTGGTACATTTCTTTCACATCAGCAGCCATTTCAATTCTTCCTGCGCAAAACCTGAGACTCCAAACAGAGAGGAGAGAAGATCTGGTTCTGTGTACATCTTATCGTTCAAACTTTGTCCCATGAATTTTGCTGATGCATCGTATACTCTTCTGAGACGATCAGGTTTCTAGGGGTTAATGATAAATCTGTGTGGTAAGTACCAAGTCACTTTACTATCGCACTGTGCTTCCTCTTCACTCAGTTTCTTCACATAGCCTTTCTCAATGTATCCTGGATTGACTTTGCATATCTTTCTCTGACCTCGGGGCAGCTCTCAAACTTCTCTGAGGATTGCAGTCTCTTCTTTGCCATTTCGTAATTGTTGCGTAGAGACGGTTCCTCTTCTCTCCAAAGTAGGCCTAACACATACGCATCTTAACTCGCATTCTTAAAGGTTGTCTTTTCCACTAGAGACAATGCTCGCTTGTCCTCAATCGAACGGGTTGGATCTGCTTGCTTCACCACACTAACGTTTCTATCTCTGACTGAACCACGACCAGCTGCTTCAGCTCCTCATCTTCAACTGAACTTCTTTCATACACCTTGA